AGCACAGGTATAAACAGCAGTTTAGATGGTGAGCCACAGTTTAGGCTATTTTTAGCAGTGTAGTGTCCTGCTGCCTCCCTGCTGCTGAAGACTTTCCCTACTGCAGTGAAAGGCTCCAGCAACAGGGAAAGGCTCTGGCATCCGGGAGCTGCCAAAGCCTTTCACTGCTTCATGTAGCTATACATAAGTGTGGAAACAGCCTACTTGTCATTGCAGCATGTAGCTACATGTACCCTACATATCCCCGCCACTGGTGTGCAGTGTAGGCATATCTTAAGGCATAGGCACCGACTCCCACTGTTCCCGGTGGGTGCTCGACCCCACCTCCGCCCCTGCACCACCCTCGCCCCACCCCCATTCCACCCCTTCCCCAAAGTCCCTGCTCCCTTCCCGCCCCCATTCCACCCCTTTCCCCCAAGTCCCCACCCCTGCCTGCCTCTTCTCCACCTCCTCCCCTGAGTGTGCCTCATCCCTGCTCCTCCCCCCTCCCTCCTGGAAAGTCCTAAGCGCTGCCAAACAGCTGTTTGACGACGGGAGATAGGCGGAGGAGCGGGAACGTGGCGTGCTCAGGGGAGGAGGTGGAAGTGGAGGAGAAGGTGAGGTGGGTGCAGAGCACCCACTAATTTTTCCCTGTGGGTGCTCCAACCCCGGAACACCCATGGAGTCGATGCCTATGCCTTGAGGCTTATATCTAAGATATTGATTGTAGTGCCCCAGGCATGATGCTAGAACATGCTGAGAGAGAAAATACGCACCATGATGTAGGCATTTCTGTTTATGAACTTTATGAATTTTTCCAAACACCAAAAACAGCATTTGAGGCAACAGAGCAGAAATCTCGTAAAGGAGTTCTGTGTACCTGCAGAAAAGGAGGGAGAGCAGAACATGCAGACACATGATGAGTGGTCTTTAAAATATGGAGAGGCTGCCCACAATGGCTGGATCCCCAGAGATAGGTCAGTAGTTGGAATGTTGCCAGCTCTCCCCCAAGATAGAATCCTGTCCCATCACTGGAGCAAGGAGTTGCAATTTTCTCCCTTTCAGAGTGAATCTAGCCCACTAGCCCTACATTATATCATATCCATCTCCTACATAAATTCTTATATTAAACTTTCAAGGACAAACACTCAGCTGGGGTAAATCAGCATAGATTCATTGACTTCAAATGGCACTACAGTGATTTATACCAGCCCAGGATTTGCCTCTTAGATGTTTTATAGCTGAAGAACCATCTTGGAAAAGGAAGGAAAACACGATGAATTCTTAATATTCTACAGCAAGTTCAGAAATCTCACCTTTCAGCTTGTGATCCAGGTACTCCAAGATTATTCTAATCAACTGGACTATTGCAAGAATTAATGATCCAAATGCTAGTGAACCTGTGTGATATCTAATACAAAACAAAGAGGTATTTTACCATGTTACAGGAGACAACAGCAATACGTAACTGAACTGACCTTTGCAAATATCACAAAAAACTATCTTATGGACTGTGAAATCTGCAAACAGTCTTTTGAAAAAGATTAACAACAAAGCAAAATTTGCTAAGAACTTGGATGCTGACGAAAGATTGTGAAATGTTGCCTCTACTAAATGCTTCTGAATAACCCTAGTGTTAGCTGAACAATTTGCCCTGCTAGATACAACATGAATAAGAGATACTACAATTACAAAAGGCCTATAAATTGTGTTGTAGTAAAAATGTTTATATCCATAATGTGATTTCTTTTGCTAATTTTAACTAAAGATTATTACTGATGTAATTTTAATGTACAAATTTAAATATTGGGTTTAAGTTTAAACTGTACAGTGCTTTTAATAATTACACAATAGGTCAATATGCTCCTGAATTTTCAATAAAACAAAAAGTCCAGACCCATGCACAAAAATGTATACATCCACACATCGCTATTGTGTTTGCAGCAAGATCATTTGTATTTTTTAGGTGTCTAACAGCCATTAGAGGGTTGCTATAACAGATTTGCATATGCAGGTGCAGGAATTGCTTGTATAAGTTAGGCATGCAATTTCTCAGAGCTTCTACTCTTTTGAAATTCAGGCACTTAATGAATTTGGATCTGCTCCTCACACTGAAGTCAAAAGCAAAATGCAGGTCCGTAATAACTAGGATGATTGAGCCCTTAATGACTAAGCTTTTCTACATAATTGTTTTCCTTTGATAGTCTAAGCATAATGAAATTGTTTCCTTATGAGTATGAGCAGCGCTAGGAAACACAGAGATTAAACTCCAGATTCTTATCCTTACCGTATTGCTCGTCCAAATGAAGAAAAGAGTGGGCATGTTGGAATATCAGCAGGTTTTCTAAAGGCCCAGTAGTAAGAGGCAAAGGCACCAGCAAGGGTACACTGACCCAGTGCAATTGCAAAGTTTACCAGCCACAGAAAGACAAAAGCATTGGAGAGTTGAAAGATGAAGATGTATTTGTGATAGAAGCTTTCTCCCCCATAGAAAGCAAAAGTACACTGAGCACCAACACATAATTTGGTCACATTGGTTGTGTTAAAAGTCTGTTTAGAAAGAAAAACAACAAAAATAATCATAAGCAATGAACAGGATGTGTCAGGACAATTTCTGAAATTAAATGGCTGAGCACAAAAAAAATCTCATATTCTGCTGGACATTTCACTAACTCATTCAATCCTGCTACAAGTGGAAGTCTAACTTCAATGTAAATGTTTTTTAATTCATTTAAATAATTCAAAACTAAGCCCTTCTTAATTTCTGATATTGGGAAAATTGCAGATTCCACAATATTAAGCTTTCACCGCAATTTCGTTAGCAGCCTGGGGCTGACAGTGGGAGCCCCGGCCGCCCAGGGCTGACAGCACCACTGTTAGCCCTATGCATTAATGACTGTCATATAGTTGCAGCAAAATGTCCAGTTATCAAAAAAATTAGCAGATATAACATAATACTTGAGTGTTTATATTGTTCCAGCAAAAATTTCTTAAACAAATAGATCTTCTTTGGCTTTTCCAAATTACCACAATTAATAAAGGTCCATTATTACTTTTCCACGATTTTCCATGTCTGGTCTGCAACTCAGCTGCAATTATTTGACAATCATTCCGTGATTCAAGCAGGGCCTTATTAAAAACCCAATACTAAAAAAGACTTAATGCTCTGTGATTAGTGAATGGGCCGTTCACTATGGATAAACATGAGCACAAACACAAGTCTTTACATGACTGGGGCTTAACAATTCAGAATCTGAATTACACAAATCCCCTCTCCTGATACACAACTTGTTCAGTTTCCTTACAGAGCAGCTAGTCATATTTAATTTAAAACTCATGGCCAGATCCTCAATTTGTTTAAATCACTAGCTCAAGAGAAGTCAATGGTGCTATGACTTTTTACACCAGCTGAGGATCCGGTCACAGAATTTCTTATCTGTCTCCCCTTAGATTATAACAACAATAAAAAAAATTAGAATTGAATTTACTTTTCTCTATTTGTGCTGTTTACTCTGTCCATTTGCCCAGCTTGGACAATGAAAACAGAATGGTCAGACTTGAATCTCTGTCTCCTTTGGTTCACAGACATCAGCAGAGTGCTGTAGTGCTTGGGAGGCATGCATTTCACGGGAATGCTATCTATTACTTAAAACAAGCGGTTTCCATTGGCATTTAAAATATTTGGAAACATTTCTACTGATGTTAGGCTTCATAAACATTTTTTTGTGTTTGAAGAACTCCCAAAACAAAGTTAGAGCCCAACGTGACCTAACTGCTCCCAATAAATGCCAAAAGATTTGCTAAGCTTTTTGTAAATTTTCTTAATTTATACTCATTGCTATGATATGAGTAGCAAGAGCATATGACTGCAAGCTGAGAGATATGGTGCCCAGTTGGGTTTCTGCCATTAACTTGCTCAGCAGCCTTGGAAAAGTCTAAGTCCCAAATTTTGAAAACTGGCCACTGATTGTGGATGCCTTTTGGTATCTCTTAAACTGAGCATCCAAAAATTGAAGCACCAAAAATGAGTGGACACTTCTGAAAATTTAAGCCTTAACCTCAGTGTCTCAGTTTTCTCACCTGTAGAACAGGGCTATTCATACTTATCCTCTTCACCGGGGTGCTGTGAGAATTAATTACCTGGTGCTTATAAAGTGCTTTGAACAAGTATTATGTGACCTAACACAAAGAATGAGTGGAATACAACTATGCATGGTCTTTAAACAAGCACTGCACATATCTTGAATGTCAATAAATTAATATAATTAGCATGCCCCCTCTTTTTCCCCTCCATAGGCAGTTATTAGTTATGCTTACCTCTGGGTCACAGGTCAGGTTTGCATACTTGCACAGTGTTTGATTAGCCATTACTTTATACACAGGTTCCCCTGATGTAGACAGGAAACTGAGTGAATTGTATTAAGGAGGAACTCACAGAATCACAGGTCCCTAAATTCCATCACACATTAAACAATATAATAGGGGATCACTAACCCTGAAACCTGTGTGGGTTGGAGAGAGATTCAGTTTTAGAGCACCACCTTTTCCTATGCATGTGGCCAACGTATAAGCAGAAGGGCTAACAAGTAACATCTACATTTTCCTCATAAGCTAGAGAACTGTGGAAAACCCTGCCCTGAAGTCTGCACACATCCCAGACTCAGGGAAGGAGCTACCTCCACATTGCTCTTAGTTCCCTCTGCACGCATCACTATGGCAGCATGCACTAGTCGGTGACCCTACTGCCAGCGGCTCTTGGCCAGCTCCCGTGCTTGGTGACTGCTGCAGTGGGGAACAGAGAGAATGAGTTAATACTGCTCAGAGCAGAAACAACAGACTCTTCTTCATCCAGTGAAGGCTTCCTCTCTCTGCTGCTTGGCAAACCTCTGTGTACAGGCAGTTTTACAGAGAGGTTGGTGGTGGTTATGCCGGGTGGGGAGCAGAACAGGCTGTGCAGCTGCCAGTGAAAACCATGGCAAAGGAGCAAATAAGAGCTCCCAAATTAACTAAGAAACAATGAATGCAGGGCTAAGGAACGTGAAGTCTTGTGCAGGCCATACGCTCTATGGGTGAATAAACCCCGTGCAGGGGGCTCACCCAAAGCCCTATGTACCATTTAAGACCCATATTAAGGACTTAAATAGTGCACAGGGCCTTGTTTGAGCCCACTGGGGGGAATTCCTTCCTGAGACTGTTATTTTTTAAATAAAATATAATGTCCTGCTTGTACACCATAACCCAGTGTACAGAATCCTTTATTGGTGGGGAGATGGACTAGGTGACCTAACAGCTTGCTCTAACATCTATGATTCTCTGAAGGTGTTATAATACAGTCTCAGCCAGCATGATGGAACAGAACAGCTCAATGAGACAGGAGCTACGTACAGCACCTCAGGCACCCACTTGATAAGATATGAGAGGGAAAGAGATACAACATATCCAGGTGCAGGACATTTCCCACTGTATTGTCCACTGGATCTACAAACACACTAACACATCACATGTGTTAATATCACTGCCGTCCCCAATTCTGCATCTCACCCCGCACAGCCACACCAGCCACTTTGGGAGAAGCAGGGCAGAAAAAAAGTGCATTTAGTTATTCCTTGTGTAAACAGTAGGGCACATAGGGTGGGTGTGAAGTATGTCTCCAGGTGATGATGTTTGTGAAAAATACAATCTGTTGGTGTTAGTCTTCTTAGGGTCTCCTAAGAAAGCACAAAGGGATTTCAATACTGCAAAGTGAGGGTTTCTACAGTGGCTTCATCCCACATCAGCTATCAAGAGAAGAACCTTAGGATTTTGCCTCTACCTCCAATGTACTGCTCGTTGAGAACGAAGGCCGATGTGAGCATTTACACAGTTATTTGGTGAGCTATTCAGATACTACCGCGATGAGGTACAAATACTCAGACATATAGAAGGATACACAGCTGTCACTGCCCAATAGGAAATACAGATTGCAATGAGAATGAAGGTGATAATGGGGTAGAATAATGTGGACATTATGTAGCCAATAGCCCTACAAAGGAAACAAAATAAGGTTGAAATCTAGAATGATAACAAAACAAAAAATTACTTTATCAGCCCTTTAGCATTAACCCTTTTACTTCTCTCTTCACTGATACTGGTGGGGTCACCTAGTGCTGGGATCCCAGAGCACTGCCAGTACGATCTCCTTACTACCTCACTTCTGTCACCGTCTCATTTTGTCTCTTCTCCTCCCCCTCCTTCATCTGGCTGCCCTCCTCAAATCTCTGCTATATTCTGTTCCCAGTCCCCTTCTTTCCACTGATTTTGCCCTCCCTGATCCTATCCCTGCTACCTTCCTTCAATCCCGGGTCACAAACCCGCTCTGCTCCCACATCCCTCCAACTGCTGTCTGCCTCAGACACTGCCCCTCCCACTGCCTGTCTTCTCCATGTTCCCAAACTACTCAACTCCTAGACCTGCTCTTTCCTCTGGGCCCCTGTACATCCTTCCTCCTGCCTTCCTCCTAGTGTTCACAGATCCAGTCTGCTCGGGTACCTTCTGCTCTACTGAGCACTGCATGCTCTGGACCCTTGACATTCTACTTTTCTCTTGAGTCACAGTCCATTTTGCTACCTCACCACTGTAATGTATTTATAATTTTTCTGTGTAAGAGTGCGTGTGTGTATATATATATATATGTGATGTTGCCTAAATTTGCTGGCCCGCAGAAAGGATAAAGGGCTTTCTACTGCTACTAGCTAAGGAAGCTCTTTTTTAGTTCAAGAGACAGAGGCCTATGCTTTAGTAGCTGACAAACCAGACACTAGTCCCAATGAATAAAAGGTGTGGTCAGAGTGTGGACACAGGAATTTAAGCGTTCTAATCCCTGCTCTGACAAGGATTCCCTCTGTGGCATTAAATACATTACTTAAGCCATCAGTGCCTCTCTAGAAAATGACTGCACTTATCTCACAGGGGAATAATGAGGATGGTTAGTTCTGACTTAAATACTGTGGTGATGGGATAGGAAATAATTGTACAGGCAGCTCACTGCATGTAACTTATAGAAAGTGTGCCTGTTGTCTAAAGCATGTGGATTGATTACACTGCTCTCCCATTTTCCTTTACATTCCCCCAATCCACCTCATCCCATTCCTTCTGAACCTCTCCTTCCACAGCCCCCTGACACGCTCCTCTGACCATTCCACCCTCCCTTTTCCCTCTGCCTTTCCTTCCCCCATTGTGCTTCTCCCCTGACTTGTTCACTCCTGCTGCCAGCTGCCTTCCAGGAGCCAGTTCGCAGAAAGCAAATGGAAGACAAATTTACTCCACTCCTGCTGTTAAATAAGAAGACCCTGGGGATAAGTTAATCTGTCTTGTGCGATAACAAGGTCAATGGCAACATTCTAGTAGTGTTTTCTTATTGCCAAATCATACCTGGATCTACAGGCACAACAAGCGCATTATGAGTCATACAGACATGCACGATTTTATGCTATTTAAGAAATAATCACAAATCAGTAGTTTCCAGCAGTTAATGATAGGCTTGTTAGTTAACAGTGAAGCCACAGACAGTTTACTCTAACAAACTGCTTGTTAACTATTCTATCAATGGATTCCAAACAGCTTATTACTATTATAAATTGTAATTTTACTGAAAGAATAGTTAAACTGTACTCAAAAAAATAATTTGATTCCCAGTCATTAGCAACTTATTTCCCATCATCCTGAATACAGGGCATGGTCTGTTAGGTGTACAGTAATTACTTACAGTGTATCACCTCAGGGGTTATACATGAGTGTAAAAGTACTGCCCTCAAGTGACCTTTCAGTGTAGCTAAAAAACACTAGAGGATGTTATTACCTCCCAGCAGGAAGTTTATGAAATTTCTTAAGTGTTTCTATCTGTCACATTTTTGAATAAAAGTGTCTTAGTGTGTAAAATGTTTCTGAATTATAATGAACAGGATCCAAAGGATAAAGTGTAGTGCTGCCAAAACTGACTGCTATTTCCTACATGCATAGCTGTAGAAAGGGGAATAAGTAGGTTGATTATGGAACTTCAGCTTTTCCTAATTCCACAAAAGACTCCCTAAGTCCTGATACTACAGGCACTGGGATGCCCAGGACTGTAAAAGAAAAATCAGGGAAGGGAAGAGGTCACAATTCAGATTCAGAATCGGCACTGCTCTGATGAATTTGGTAGCACCGTGACTACCAACCATCTACTAGCTCTCTACACTAAATTCTGTTCTTGCGTACACATGTGTAGCCTACCACTTGACCCAAAAATCTGTCCTCATTTACACTGGCACAACTCCATCAAAGTCAATTGGGTTGCATTGGTGCAATAGAGAGAATTTGATGCACTGTGTTTACTAGATGGACCAAGTATATGCAGGGAAGTTATAAATTGCTACCTGGAAACTGCCTGTGAGACTGTTAACAGGAAGAAGTGTTAACTACTCTATTACTCAAGTATCAGAGGGGTAGCCGTGTTAGTCTGAATCTGTAAAAAGCAACAGAGGGTCCTGTGGCACCTTTGAGACTAACAGAAGTATTGGGAGCATAACCTCGTTATCTCCACACTGATTTATACCTGCCTCTAGAGATTTCCATTACTTGCATCTGAAGAAGTGAGGTTCTTACCCACGAAAGCTTATGCTCCCAATACTTCTGTTAGTCTCAAAGGTGCCACAGGACCCTCTGTTGCTTTTTACTCTATTACTGCACATCATATAATCGCTGGCACTAATTCATCTGAGCAATAACTGAAATCAATGCGTGTAACACACCTGGATCTGAAGGCAAAATTTGACCCTTTTAGTTGCTTTTTTCACTATATGACAGTCAGCTAAGTTGCAGGGTGGATCTAAGCCTTCCAAATGCATTATATCAAGCTCCCCCGCACACACACCTCACTCTAAAAAATACAGTTAAACCCCTCACAGTAACCAGGCCAATGTTTAAAGGAGACATTTAAAAGATATTTACTCTCAAATGGTACTTTCTCTGCATAATCAAATTTTCAGAAGGTTTTTGAGTGTGGGATTTTCAAAAGTGCCTCGATCAACAGGACTGGGCTCCTAAGTCACTGCAACACTTTTGAAAATCCTACTGCTAGTTGCCAATGAGACTTGACCCTATTTATGATGCATGCCAAGGTCTTGATCCTACAAGCCCTTGTCTGGTGCACAGCTGGCCACACAAGATTTTATGCTCCCTTTGCAAGTATGAAAGGAAGCTCCACGTTGGCACAAGCAAGATTCAGCGCTAGATGTAGTCCTCTGTGCTGAATGAACGTATGTTTGAAGACCTTTGTACGTCTGCTACCTTAAAATGGGAAGATGTGGGAGCAGAGAATAGGTGTGTCCGAGGATATAAAGGCTTAAGTGCACTCCCCTCAGCATGCAAATGATGTGCCTAGCTACATGTTCTCCTATGAGCCCCTCCTACTGCTACTAGGCAGGAGTAACCTAGCAGCCATAAAGCCACACTCTCATTCATACAGGATCAGGCTCCCCTGCACTCCCTGGACTGTTTAGCACTTTTTCCCTTGTGCTTCTATCCACCGTATTCTGCCCCTGGCAGTGCAGGATCAAGTCCCAACAGAATATTACAAGGAGGGTATTATAATTTTTTAAAAAAAATCAATAAATCAGAGAAACATACCTACTCCCTTCCTGCAAGAGTGCAATAGCAATCCGGATCCGATTCCTCAGGAAGATCAGCATCAGTATGATGAAGACTTCCACAATACAAAGTATTATCACTGCAAGCACGAAAATTAAACTCCTCAAAAATCAAACCAACACACTGCCTTTCTACATTGGTTTCCACCTTGTACTTTACAATCCTGGTCATGAATGCCAAGAAACCCTATGCTAGAACATGCTTGCTCTCTCTGTGACTGCAAAGGCCGACTTTCAATCCCCATTTAATACATTCTTGGGAAATCCCACAGAAGCTGCTAGCCTTGACAGATGACATTAGTGTTCGTAATTTACAAAGGAAAGTGGAGCATTGCAATGTCAGACAGTTCACAAATATAGTCATCTATTTAAAAACATATGTCTGTAGCACTTAGCATAAAATATCATTTATCCTTAATACACTCCATGAAAGTAAACTTTGGGTTATTCAGAAACAAGCATTTTTCAATGATTATACTATATTGCTGCTAATTTGTAGTCTCTGGACATAGGAAAAAGAATAAAACATAGATGGACATTCAGCCTTTTAATTAAGAGAGCTTGATTCTGATCTCCATTACACACTGGTGTCATGCAGAAGTAATTCCATTGAAGTCAATGGCCCAGTTTTATACAGGGCAAGCCAGCATCTCAGCGAGGTACAAGGAGAGAATAGGGACACATGGTACAACACTAGTATTCTCTAGGGGCATTACTTTAAAGAGATTCACCTCAGCAACATGTGGTGAATGGCCCCCATTAGTTCACTGTCCCAGACATGCAGGTAAACAGAGACACAGCACATAGGTTTTGTGCAGCTTTGTTAAATCATCTTAACAATGGGGTCAATGGTATCCCAAGCCCTAGCAGCCAAAGCAAGGGTCCAATGTGGGAGGACATAGCCTTATGCCAAAACCACAAAACCTGGAGTCAGGGAGGTCAGGGAGACAGTGCCTAAATCATCCCTGGTATCCAGTCAGTTGATGAGATCTCCTATCATCCCCCTGGCTCAAAGGCATGAGAGCAGAGATGGGAAATGCCTCAATCTGCACTAGACCTAAGAGACCACCCCTACCTCAGCAAGACCAAAGTTTGGCCAGCAGATGCCCGAGTCCTGTGCTTATGTTTACACCCAGAGATACCCCACGCTTGACACTGAGCACAAAGCTGCAACACCATAAATGCGGTGCCCACCAAACCAGGCCTCCCGCATGCTGTGAGGAAGTTAAAAAAAACCACCATCTTTTTTGGGTCACCCAATTTTATCCAGAGGAAAAATTATTTCCCATGAGGGCTGATCTGGCTAGGCCCACAGCATGCAGGAGACCCAGTTCTGCAAACCTTAGGCCCCAATAACTCCCAAAGAGTGGGTGTTGCTTGGGCAGTTGCCAGTGGGGGTGGAGTGCAGCTGACCAATCATGGTCAGCCACCTCTCCTGAACTGGCCAGTCATGCAGACAATGGCCCATTCGGTCCCCATCTAACATCCTATCCCTTCCTCCCTTCACACTGCATGTGGTGCCCATACCGAAGGAATGGTACATGGATGGATGGGGAAAGGCAAATCCCCTCTCCCCTGCAACCTGGCCAGGACCCCAGGGAGTGTCTTGTTCTCTGCTAATCAAGTCAAATCCTTCTCCCTCACCACCTCCAAGAGGGGGGGGGGAGCGATAGCTCAATGGTTTGAGCATTGGCCTTCTAAACCCAGCACAATAAGAGTGGTGTTCTACCAGTTTTGCATGTTTTCCACATTTGTTAGTAATGTGAATGGACCAAATTCTAGGCCAGATAAACTAGTAACCCTGAAAACTGCACAATATAATAAAAACCTTCACTGCACTGAGATCCCAGAAACTTATCTAAAGGAAGATATTTGTTCAGCATCTGTAACAAGGGGTACTTCATAGGATGCACCAACCAGCTGATGATTCGTTCTCCTGGTTAAGCATTAACAGAGACTAATTTTAAAAGGCACTTACTAAATGCTAACCATGTTTGCCTCAGCTGCAGATATACTCTGAAGTCAGTCTGGAAGCCAATATCATAGATCGTGAGGTCAGATCCAGGTGTCCCCTGAAGATGATCATACTCCCAGTAACAATGCCAGATACCTTTGGAAAAACAAACCAGTAAGAGCTGAGTGTTTCTGATGAGTCTGTAAACATGAATGAGCCTTTGGGTTTTTTTGCCTTCAACATGCCATATAGGTAAAAACTACAGGTGATCATAAGACTAGTGGCTTATAAACCCACACGAACAAAAAAGAAATCATGGTGCAAATACAGAAGGCCTAATCCTGCAAGTGCTTACATGTGGGTGTACACGTGGTGGTAAACGTTTGCAAGATCGAGGCCATAGTATAAGTTTCTTTAAAGAAAAAAACCCTCAACACCCTGTCAAACCTATGCAATATTTCACCTGATTATTACAGATTTCCTTGTACAAACATCAGCAGTAAGAACAAAATCGCTCAGCTCCTACACTCTCTAATGAGGAACTGCAAACACCTACCATATCCTATAATTCCAATCACGCCAAGGATGAAAATCCAGAAGAGGACCCCCGCTGTGAACCTCAGGAGCACAAGGAAGAGCAGGCTCACAACCATTGCAATGAACAGACCGCTGGAAAGACAGGAGGCGACATGAACATAAGGGAAACAGGCTTGAGCATTCCTCCTCCTTGCGCATTCTATTTACTGCAAAAGGAGGGTCACTCTTTCACACAATACAGAATGACAGGTCTAAAATTTTATTCCAAACCTCCTTTTGAAAGTCTAATGAGTGGTGAGTGTTTTCAAGTTTGGATACCATCAACTACTGGAAACCCATCCATTGGGCGCTAAGTTTCTAGGCAGTCTGATTACATTTCATAGACACATTTATAAATGATGGGCCAGCTCCTTAGCTGGTGTAAACTGGTATAGCTTCATTGCTGTGACTGTGCTGATTTACACCAGCTGAGGTTCTGAGACAGTGACGTCTTCAGGCCGTGGCTAGGCCAGGGTAGAGAAGTGTCAAACTGGAAGGAGGTGTACACGTGTGGTTAGTTCAATTTTGGTTCTTAAATAAGAATATTATTTTAAAAAGTAGATAGGAACTTTGAATTTGAGAATAAAACACTTTCCTTTCTATCCTTCCAAACAAGTCATGTGCAGTGCATCGGAGTTGGGAAGAAAACGTGCATTAAAGAAAAGCTGACACTGGCAATGACCTACCAGCAGTGCAATTGGGGGAAAAACAGCTACCCAGTGAGTGTCTTCCTTTAGCCTACTCAAATCAGTGGTAAGGCAGTGTGAATTCTGGTTTCATTCCCAGCATGCAAGTCACAAAGAAAAAAACAACAATGATGGCTGTGTAAACTCTTTACACGCACACAGGTATCTGTGTGTACAGCCATAGGAGATAACAGCCAGTCTCCTCTCACATATAATCCCAACACACAGTCAAGTGGGACACACCAGTAAAATATTTCATTTCTTGATGACGTTAGCAGAGGTCCAAAACAAAATAAATGATTATGAACCCTGGACTTTGAAGACATACTCACTGAAATACAAAATCCATAACCATTAATTTAGAGTTTGTTTAGTGATCGCTCTCTGAAATGTCCCCCTTACCTAGCTGGTTATCAAAGAGGGGAGACTGATCAGACTCAGGACCACAGGACTGGGAGGGGTAAACCATCTCTTTGGGCTTCTAAACCTTACAACTGTGCAGGCGACAGTGAAAAAGAAAGAGCCACAGCTTGCTTTGGAGATCCCTTCACCATAACCTGCACAAGACATTCATAAATCTCCTCTCTGCCCTTTGTGGTTACTCCCTTTCCAAAACTCATTCAAGGACATCCCCTGCTTTCTCACTGAATGGTTCATTATTCAAAACTTTCCTCCTCAAAAACAGCTGGACTATTTGGAGGTTGGGGCCCTGATTCAGGAAAACACTTAAGTACATGCTTAACTAGTTTCACTGTCTTCACTAGTACTCATGCATGTGGCTGAAGTGAATCACATTCTTCAGAGCTGCTGTGAATAGACATGCTTTGGGGTCTGAGAACTGAAAGCTGCAGATCTTCCTAGGTATTGTGGAAAAGCAGGAATCTCTCCATAGTTAAGGTTGTAACCAACTGGCTTCCACTATAAAACCCTACAGTATCATACCCATAACTTTGGCCTGGAAACTGCATTCTGTTTGGAAACTGCCAGATTTACTCTGAAAACGAAGGAGGAAGTTTTGATAAAGTACGAAGAAAATCCATCCAATAGTTTCAACAGTACAGATCATTCTGAAAAATGACCATATTAGAAACTTTGACTTTTGCGTAACGTTACTTTGTCTCCCTCTAGCTTCAAATTTCCTGTATAGTTAAGTCTCCTTGTAAACTCATGGCCCAGCTATTGATGTAGAAAATAAATTCATGATTCTAGGTGTGGATAATTTTGTACCCAATCTTGCTCCCATTTATTTCAGTGGGAGTTATGGACCCAATCCTGCCCCTACTGACATCAGTGGGGGTTTCTTGCCATTGGCGTCAGCAGGAGCAGAATCAAGCACTATGAGTATGTGAGGAAGTTGCCCTCTATTGGTTGGGGCAGTGTAGAAAGAAGCTTAGAGTATGTCTACATAGCAATTACACACCCATGGCTGACCCAGGTCAGCTGACTCAGGCTCATGGAGCTTGGGCTGCGGGGCTTAAAATTGCAGTGTAGATGTCCGGCTCGGGCTGGATCCTGAACTCTGGGACCCCATGCAGGGGTGGAGGAGGGTCCCAGAGCTTGGGACCTAGCCCAAACATCTACACCCCAATTTTATAGCCCCACAACCAGAGTCAGCTGACCCAGGCCAGCCACAGGTGTTTAACTACTGTGCAGACATACCTTAAGACGCCTTCTATAGCTGGAAAATATGTTCAGTCTGAGAACTGCGAGATCTACTCTGAAACCAAACAAGGAAGTTTTGGCAAAGTATAAAGAAAATTCATCCAACAGTTTCAGAAGTACGGATCATTCTGAAAAATGAGTACACTTATCAGTATATTTATCAACTTACTGTAGAAACTACTAGTAATTGCTGTTCTTAGAATAATCTAGTATATGTAGTACGTTATCAGAAGTAGAACACAGTTCTTAACACAAATATCTGTCCATAGTACTGCATTCAAGCCTGACAAGTTGTCATTAATATGCACATTATATAGGCACCAATCCTGCAAAAACTCCCACATGTTTAACCTTCCATGCTGGGAGTAGTTCCATTGACTTCCTTGTTGTTGGCTTAAGGTTAAGCATGTGCTTGAGTTTTCAGCTTCAGAGTCATTCTTTTTACTTTAACATTTTAGTGTTCAATTTATATTGCGAGATTAGAACAGGAAGAATTTATTTCAGGTGCAAATTAAGAGTTGATAAACTGTGCATTTTTTTTATGCAATACATTCACCTACTATGTTAGCAGTGTAAGCTTTATGATGGCCTTAACTATTCATTTGCTTTGTTTTGTAAATGACATGTCAGGTAACTACCCTGCTGTTGCTTAGCAAACTAAACTGTTTTTTTCATAAGGATTCTTGGGTTTGGAATAACAAAACAGATGGGCCATGAAGAGAGAGAAGAACCCACATCAATGTTGTGTGTGGGAAGATGCCCACATCTCTTGTAGATCTACCACAGACTGATGTCAGGGTGTAGTTATGGATGACATAGCAGGATACTGGATTAGCCTCACATCGTGTATAAGATCTATGAAAAGTGCATGATAGAAGTATGTGATAAGAGGAGACTCTTGAGTTTAACAGTAGGATGTCAGACATACACATAAATTAATAGTTCTTCTCCATTCACACCTGGGAAGATACAAAGTGTAGGAGCCAGCAATATCTGTAAATAAACTTACATTAAAATCCAATGCCAGGAACTGGCATAGTCTTCAAAAATTTTCATCCCAACTGATCTTGCATCAAGGACATTATTGATACCACTTAAACAAAACAGAAAAAAAGTTTGGTTTATATGAGATACTACAGATCTTACTTAAGCAGCAAATAGGTCCTTAATGTACTAACAAAATATAAGTTATGCCACAAAGCATTTTTAGAACATGCCTTTATTTGTAGCATTTGGTATTTCAGCAAAACAGAGTTTGAAATGTCATTGCCAGTAATAAAGTTACAATACGATGCTGTAGCTCAGGTTTTGTGCACAAATGAACATCAGTTACAGTAATATTAAGGCAAGGAAATTCCACTGAGGGTGAAAGGCCCCCCAAACTGTTAACACTTGTACAGCTCTGGAAAAAAAAATATAATACAAAACTCTAAACAACATTAATATCACAATACACAATCACTTATCATGTCACAAAAATATAGTCAGCTGGTAGTAAGATCTGCCATAAACCCCCAGAAACCATACAATAATGGCTCTAACATTACCAGTACTAAAGCCACAAAAAAAACCTGCATAGCAAAAGTAAAACAATAGCCTGCCCATAGGGGAGGTTTTTTCCTAACCCCAGAATAGTTACCAACATTAAAACATTTTCCTAGGACAATGCTAGGAAGAAATAAAGCTAGGGCTTTATGATAGCTAGGGACAGCTGGAGTAGGGGGCTTGATAAATTGTGGGGTCTGGAGTCAGCATTGGTGAGGCAAGAGAGGGGGCATTGGTATGTTTGAGGGAAGGGAACGGGGGATGCCCTCTGGTCCCAGTCTGAACGGGGACTTGGATGGAGGCTAGAGAAGCTACTCTGGGCCAGCAGTTCCCTCTCCTCCTGGCTTAGGCCCAGCATGGGAGATGCTAGTTTTTTTATCTGGAGTGGCTTGAGAGGTTCCCACATGCCACCAGTCCCACAACATTAGCTAGGATACCCACTCCTTGGGACAGGTATTAAAAACCAGAGAGCAGATCTTCAGCTGGTGTAAACTGTCATAGCTCCATTGATGTCAGTGAGGATCTGCTCCCGGAACTGTTGGCAGGGGTAGCCTTAGTGGGTGGCTTGTCCCCTGAAGCATTAGAATTTATACTCGTTGCTTTGTGTGAAGCTAACCTTTCACAGAGAGAACTAATCAAATAACAAAACCAGGCTGACAATCAGTCACAAACAACACACCTCCAAATTAAATGGAAAAGCACTCTACAAAAAAAATCCTTTGCTAGTTTCCTGGTATAGAATTTTAAAAGCACTGAAGTACAGATCTGTCACTTCATTACAATGTCTCAGTTGGTTAATGTCAGTCATTTGCTATAACTGATTGTGATTTCTTTTCTACCTATACATTAATTTATTGACCTGGAACATAAACAAAAGGTATCACACAAAAGAAAAGCACAAGAGGAAGGAAAAACCTACTTTGCAGCTTCCCTGAGATCAGTTACATTTCTTGTTTTCCCTCTTCCATCTTTGAATGTCGTCTGATTTGCCACCGTCAGAATCCCATTCTTCGTGGAGAAGTCAGGAAAGCATCTTTTAAGAACTGTTAAGTAATGAAAAAGGTGGGTAATAACATCCATTTATTTATTATCAAACTCCACTTTAAAATTATGTTTTTTGACCATCAAATTCGTGCTTAGCTGTGTGTAAATCATTTCAGATCGGTAGTGAGGCCCAGATCCATAAAGGTATTCAGTCACCTAAACCCCAGACCTAGGTGCCTAAGTACCAGTTTTAGGCACCACTGCAATCCAAAAAATCCCCACGTGGCTGCTGCTTAACCTTGTAGCCTACACTCACTTAGCGCCTAAATTTTCATTGTAAAAGTCCTTCCGTGTCTAAATTTCTGCCTCTGGTCATGCGCACTGTCATCTCCCTGTAGGTGTCCAGACACCTAAGCCCCAGCACAATCCAGTAAAGGTAGGCACTCCCCTGCCTATCTCACCTTGGGGGCCCAGTGTGCTCGGAGGCCAGCTACCAGATCAGGCCAGAGGAGGAGCAGGCGGTGGTGCTGCTATTGCTGCCCACGCCATGACTTCTAGCCCAGAGGTTAGAGCACTCACCTGGGATGTGGGAGACCCAGGTTAAATTCCCACAGCTGCCTGATGTGAAGAAAGGATTTGAAGAGGGATCAGAAAAGTGCTCTAACTACTCAGGTAAGCAGTATTCTGATGTGGGGCTTTCTCAGTCTCCTCTTGAAGCTGTTCCATTGTGGCTAAATAATTAAACACTTCTGTAACGGAGATTAGCACTGGAACCCAGTGTATGTATTCAGAGACACAATGCTCCTTTTTTACCTCTCAGCCCTGCAGAGCCTGTACAGCTATAGAAGGTTAGATCCTAATTGGACTCATCTAAACTCCAAATACAGGGCCATGTTATGCCCTTACTGCAGCTATGCCATTTACCAAAGACAATAGGGTTGCTTGCCCTCATGCTTCTGAAGGTGTAATTTAGTCTGCAGAGTCCTCATTACTGGGGATGATTCATGAGGCAGAAAGAACCCAGCTTGACTTGATCCCAGATTGAGTTTTCACAGCTGGAAGTTTGAAAAAAACATCTTTATACTTTTACATGGTGTAACATTGATTTGGCCGTCACTGACAGTCAATGCAGAGCCCCATTATGACAACATCAGGATCTCCTTTCAGAGTGGAGCTGCACTTTAATAACATACACACCAATCCTCTGCTGAGACATGTGCAAAAAGTATAACTACTCACAAGGCCTGCTTGGAATGATCATCGAAGGGCAATCTTCATCACGGATCACTTGAGCAACAGACTAAAAGAAAATAAACCCAAAGAGGAATTGGGGAATACAATTCAGAACAAATAAAACCTGCTCAATCTGAGAAATCTTTACAATCAAGAAAATGTCCCATTTCCCCTTATTTGTATCTTAATCTCTTGGCATGATTTGACTGGTGCATCTGCCTGACACTCACAGGATGGAAGCAAGAGACCTAAGCATCCCTGGACAGTCATGGATGAGGAATAAAATATGCTTCTGGCTTTTCTAATGGTAATAAGATAAAAACAGAAGGCATCAGACCTGCCTACGAACCAGTGGTGTTTGGGCAGGTGTTTTTGTCTCTCATAGAAAAAAAAGTTTGTTATAACATAATTAGTACATTTAACTTCAGGATGATGTTAGAGTTGCAAGTGTTTTTATTGTGGGAGGAATATTAAGGTATGTTCAAATGCAAACCCATGGTATTTCAAAATGGTCATCTTATTGCAAAGCTGGGGTAATTCCCTGGCTAAAAAAAATGGAGTGAGAAGCTGCAGGTGACTTACTACAATGCCTGCTGATTCAGATATAAAACTCTCTAGGATGAAGGGGAACTTGTTAGTACTAGTCTGAGCTCTCCTTCTCCACTGTGGATCAGTGCAGCCTAAACCTATATACTGGAGAAAATTGGCTTCTCTGGGTACATCTATACTGTAATGTAAGCTCGGGCTTAGAGTCAGGCTTGAGCCCAACCCCCTCTTCCGTCTACACACAAATCTGTCAGCCTCGGGCTCGGACCAAGGGTCTTAAGACCCGGTGGGGGAGGAGGGATCAAGCCCAGTCAAGCCAGGACCCAGAGTTTGACCCCTTTTGCTTTGCAGTATAGCTGCAGCCCCCCCGACCCAGGTCCTGGGAGTCTGCCAAAAGTATCCCACAGTGTCATGGACCAACTTCCTTTCTTCTCTATCCCAAGAATCTCCAGCGGACTCCAGTGAAAATAGAAGCAACCCCTCGCCCTCTTTGGTGCACTCCTGCAGGTTGGGGAGTCAGCATTAACCCTTCCATCCACTTCTGATCAGCAAGCTGCAATCACGCCATTGGAAAGCCTTCTATGCTTGCAATGGAGACCGAACAGAAACAGCCTTTTGCACAGCACACTGCTTTATGGTCACAGGAGCATAGCCAGATTTTGATAAGTCTCTGCTGAGAGTCCAGCACAACAGTGGGCATTAGTAAGAGTACCAGGAATGATCAGACATACCGGCAAAGAAACTGGCACTGTAGCAACTTTACTGCACTAGTGACCAGTGCATAGAGTGGACTGAGTGGCTCAAGACGGAGTACGGGAAAATCAGGGACCAGAACTGCACCTCGGGCAACTCGTCGACATCATGCCCATTTAATGAGAAGTTGGACCAGGTGCTGGGCACTGCTCTGAGCACGGAGCCAACGGTGGTGCACGATGACCTGGTCAGCTGGGAAGGCTGATGGGGACTGATGGGAGCCAGCTGCAGGTGCTGAGTGAGGACAGTGAAGTCTGTTGCTGAAACCAGCCCCAAAAGAGGTTTTGGAGCTGGAACCGCTGCACATCCTGGGGCCAAACTCTGGAGCTGCTTGATGCCCCCTCCCCTGACAAACAACCCACTGCACAGCATGCACCAGACACAGAAGCTGTCCCTGAGCACAGTGAGTTTCTGGCTCCATTTTAATTTTATTAATACAGTAATAGGAGGAATTTCAATTCTATGAACCAACACAAAAACTATTGGACGCAAGTCACGTAACGGCTAGCCACATGTATCCGCTAATGGCGGATTGTATGGCAGCAGCTTGTCCACTCCATTTCAATTAGAGACAGTCCATAGGTGACAAAATCAATTGTGCCAAATTCAACTTGGATTTGAATTTTTGTCCCGAAATGTGCCGGGGGCAGAGGAGGAAGGCTGTTAAGTTCTGTGTGTTTGCATGCAGCCATAACAGGGTAAGCCATGTGGAAGCTGACACAGCATCCTACTGATTCCCTCATGGATTCTGACCCAATCCTGGATGCTGATAGCTACAAACTCCTGAGCAGGAATTCCAGACAGGTAGTCACATTTCAGGGAAGGACATATTTTCCAGGGCTATCTTGGTAGCCAGCCAGCCCACTCCATTCATACATGTGCTGTTCAGTCACTCTACATTGTGTTTCCAATGGGATTTCAATCTGCCAAAATCACATACAGCAATCATTCTATACCTGCTGATAGCATCATTAAACCATCTTTTGCCAAGTCCCCTTAAATCATGGTAGGGTTTCATAAGCCAAGGCAAAAGGAGGTATGCGGAGTCCCCCAGAACAACAGTGAGGACAGTAACTCCGGTTATGACAACGTCATTTGGAGGGAATAGTATCCCAGCCCGTCCGTGAATATAGACTCCCAATTGTCAAAAAACACTGGCATCCAGAACTTTTCTAGTGCAACCCACATTGACATTCATAAATTAACCTCTGTGGTCCAGAGGGTCTGTATAACAATGGAGTGGTACCCTTTGTGGTTTATGTATTCATGCTCCCTAAGGATGGCAACCTATGGGCACATAAGTCCCATCAATGGTCCCAGCACAATTAGGAAACCCCATTCTCTCTAAGCCAGCAGTTACTTCAGGAATATCTTTTATGCCTGCCACTTTGAGGTAAACCACATGCCTGACTGCCTCAGAAACCTCTGCGACCACTTTATCCACAGTCGACTTTCCAACGCCAAACTGGCTGGAAACCAACCTGTAGCAGTCTGGGTTAGCCAGGTTCCAGACGGTTATAGCAACCGGCTTCCAGACAGGCTGACCTCATGCAGGTGTCTTTATGCTGGGGTCTTGGGGCAAGCTGCCCACTAAGCTCCAGAAAGGTAGCTTTCCTCATGTGAAAATTCTGGATCCAACTACTGACCATCCCAGGTCTGCATGATGATGTGATCCCACCAGTCTGTGCTTGTGGCCCCGTGCCAGAAGTGCTGGTCTACGTAGAGCAGGGGTAGGCAACCTATGGCACGTGTGCCAAAGGTGGCACGCAAGCTGATTTTCAGTGGCACTCTCACTGCCCGGGTTCTGGCCATCAGTCCGGGGGGCTCTGCATTTTAATTTAATTTTAAATGAAGCTTCTTAAACATTTTAAAAACCTTATTTACTTTACATACAACAGTAGTTTAGTTATATATTATATACTTATAGAAAGAGACCTTTTAAAAACGTTTAAATGTATTACTGGCACGCAAAACCTTAAATTAGAGTGAATAAATGAAGACTCGACACATCACTTCTGAAAGGTTGCCGACCCCTGACATAGACGTTATCAGGGGCTATACTGAGTGTACGGAGCAGCATCAGCCAGTGTGAGTCTACCATGCCTGGGTATCCTCCTCCTCCTCCACTATAAGCTCTGTCAGGTGCCTTTGGTGGGTCAGAAAATGCCACCAAAGAGTCCACCAGCATCTCACAGAAGCTCTGCCTGTTTTCTAACACGAGAGCGAAAGTGCAAGCAAGAGAATTTCTTGAAAATGTGTCTCCTCCATGTTGCTGGCTCCATACCTGGGCGCGCACACACGAAAAAGACAGCTAGGAAGGATGTGTTGGCGGGCTGTTCAAACTTGCTGTAATGTGCAAGGTGGACCGTTCACCATGGTCAAAGGACTAGAGCGGCCACATTTTGGGAGGGCGCTAGGGAGTCTGGTATATGCATGGTTTGACTCAGGTCTGTGCACTGGAGTGTGGATGCCAGAGCCACAGGTTTAAGCCCAAGTTGGAAAATTCTTAATATAGGGTTAACAGTCAGTGTAGATGTTCAAGCCCTGGGTTCTCCAAACCAGGGTCAGCTGACTTGAGTCCCACAAATCCTGGGCTTACACTGCAGTGTAGACATACCCTATAGAACCAAAAATCCACAGCATGGAAGTCTGCAGATATTTTCCATTGAACTGAGCCTTCAGTAATCACTTAAAGATTTAGGGATTTTGTCTAGCTAGCAGATCTTAACTCTTGACAAACTCAGAGCTGAAATACACTTACAGAAGAGCTCCTCAGCTGAGATAATTTGGCACAGCTCCATTGATTTTGATGGAGTTAGACTGATTTATGCACACTAAGGTTCATCTATAGTTTAAAGCAGAATGTATCCCATCTATACTTATGTATGTATATATACGCACCTTCAAAGGCTTATTAAAACCAGGTTTGCAGAACTGCCTGTAGTACTCCCAATAGCTTTTGTTATATCTGTAGGAAGCTTGCATGTCTATGTATGTTGCAAACCTGTCTGGGCACTTTGAGACACAAAGCTGTAAGGAAGGAATAAATGCATAATTATATATTGGAAAACAAAACAAAACAAAACAAAAACCCTCCCAAAACAACCCTCTCATGCTATCAAAACAGCAAGACAAAAAAATGGCCATCTATAAAAGTGCCCTGTTTTATCAGATTACCTGGAGCAATGCTTATTGTAGCATTTAGAAAGGGACAGTGTCTATTGTTAGAATCTCTAGATAAACACTTTTTAGTGCTTTTGATAGACCTTTTCAAATCTCTCCCCAAGTTCGGTATCTCCCAATCGCTCTGCCTCCAGATGTCTTGGTGGTCTCCATACATTTTGATACACATGTACAGTTTTAAGTTTGTTTTTTTAAAACTTTTTATTGAACATACACATGAAAAAAATCCCCAGAAAGGCCTTGATCTAACCCCCTAAGCACTGACAGCTGTGTATATGAACATGCTGGTGCAGCAGCACAAGACGTGGCATGGCACAAGACACAAGACCACTTTGATCAATAAAATCTGATGAAGCTAAAAATTGCTTCACCCTCTTATACAGTAGTTTCAGTCAAATCCACTTTCAATGATGCTGGCTTTACATGCCTCTAAGGGGTGTACCAAATTAAGACTGTAAATTGCCCTTTACCCATGACAGAGTTCCCGCTGGTGTCAAAGCAAGTCAGGTGCATATGCCAAGGGCGAAATTCACATCTCCCCAACTAAAGCCAAAGTAAGCAAGATGTGTGTGAGAAACTAAGAGCTGGGAATGACTGGATCCACCCACAGGTAGGCTGCTATTCAGATGCATGTATGGAGTAGTGACTGCTGCTCCAGCACCCACTCTAAGCCGGACTTCCTGATCACTGGGTCCATGATCATGTTCTGCCCTCCTCAATGTTCCTGTGAGCCTGCCTCTGTGGCATAGAGTGGCTTTAGAGAGGCTGCACCCCCTGCAAAGCTACCCAGTCTGGACCCCCTCCTCCTCAGAGACTTACCATAGAAGGAAGTGAATTTCCCCTTAAGGGCATAGCGTACAAGTGCCCTAAGTGATTTTTTCACATTATGAACGGGAATGTCCATACCAGAAAGGGATCTTATACAATAGGCCAGAACCTGGTGGGTGCAAGAGTCTAGTGGACTAGCCTTGGATCAGGGAATGAGGAAATTTGAATTCTATCCTTGTTCGGACAATGAATCGCTGTCTGCACATCACTTATTATAACTTCAGTTTCCCCATCTGTAAAACTGGCACTGATATTTGCCACGCATTAGTGTGGCAAAGCAACATTTAAACATTGTCTGTACAGGCCTCTAAAATCCATAGTATTAGCAAGGCCTGTCAGTGGCAGCAGAAGTAGGAACAGAACTCAGGCCTTCCCTGATTCTCAGGCCTGCGCTCACACAGGTAAATGATCTGGCTTGGGGGACCACCACAACCTCCTCGAAAAGTCACAGTGTGATGTATTAAGCCCAAGTGGTTCTTCAGCATTTTCACAACAGCCAGAGAGTTAAAACCTTTAATCTGAATTATCATCCAAAGACTAGAAAATGTCAAAAACCCCCTCCAGTTTCACAGATCTGTTGTGAACCTGAAAATAGACAAATTAAAATACAACCTGTTTGTGATGAATATTCCACCTTGCTTGCCTCACAGTAGTGATTACTTTATTACAGCACAAGCCCCAATCCAAGAGTGCATTGCACAAAAGCAATAGCATTGACCTATATATTTTTTAACATTATGCAGTGTTCCCTGTAACATAAGAGACTGTGGCACAGTGTGTTAGGTAACAAAGTCAAGACCACAGCAGCACAAATCAACACAGAGTTTCATTTAATATTCTACCAAAGTGACAGGACCAGACTATATTACTTGGTTTACACTAGGAATTTATGCTGGTGTAACTACATCGCTCAGGGATTTTCAACACCCCTGAGCAATGTAGTTATACCGACCTAATCCCCAGTGTAGACAGTGCTATGTCAACAGGAGGGTTTTTGCCATCGGCATAGCTACCGCCTCTTGGGGAGGTGGAGTACCTACAGACGCTCTCCCATCTGCATAGGTAACATCTTCACGAAGCACTGCAGTGGCACAACTGCAATGCTGTAAGTGTTGACAAGCCCTCAGTCTCTGTCTACACAAGCTATGTATGCCTCTCTTCTACTGGGATACTGATTAGTGAGCATTCAACAAGTGATTAGCCAAACCTAAGGGTTATTTAACATTAAACAATCGTGTTGACCACTACCAATTCCTCAGAAGGCATGTAACATGTCTGGACAAACGAACACTATTGTCAGTTGTAAACAAGAAAATATGCATTTTTTTAAACATGGCTGGTTTGGAAAAATCTGTGTGCCAGTCAAAATGATTTTCTGAAAAAAGGCTATAATAATGTGCACGAACTACATTGCTGCACAGTCACTCGTGCTATATTCATGACGGAAAATTAGCCAAACCCAGTCACACTCACATTGGGAATTTTTTCAACTCTAAATCCAAAACAAACAGTTCTATGCATTTCTATTTATTTTCTCCTGCCCTGTTAACAATAGACACTGAATCTGCTACACTGTATACTCAGATACATGCTATACACACACTGCACTCTACAATATGATCAAACTACATTCTACAAAATGCAACTAGTCGATCAAATAACTTCTGTCAAGTTTTAAGCAGCAATAAGCAAGAGGCAATGAGAATGTTTTCTCCCTGTATTTCACTTACCTGTGTTGTAGGGCACTGTAGGTTTATTAGCACTATTGGGCTGGCACATTTCAGAATGTTAAAGTAAAACAAACTGGTCTTGTTCCTATAGAGAAATAGGAATAAAAATAACTATTTTAATATGTATAGATGTTTATATACCATGTTTATGACCATAGTACTCACATACCATATATGGATTTACAATGTACACTATCAATTTTAAATACTGTTATCCTAAAAGACTACTGCAAATCCCAGGTGAGAAATGAAAATCAAGCAGAAACTGAAGTGCCCAAGCTTAAATGTATGTTAAGTCAAACTGCTTTGTTTGATGAGTGGTCATTCTGAGGAGTGTTTTCCTGCACAGGAGCCTTAGCTGACAGCCACTTGTTCTTCGAGATGGCCCAGAACCTGGCTCGAGAACTGGAAGGCTTGCGCTTTACATGGCAAACCACCTCTTAATGCTCTGTAGTTCACCTGCATATGCTGAACCTATTTTGTACATACAGCATATGAAATTACTACTAGCACACAGCAAGCTGTACCAGCTGATGTTTTTGTGTTAATCAGAAGGTGGCACCAAAAATCAAACAAGAGTTTTTTGTGGCTCAAAACCTGAAGCAGCTGCCTGGGAAAACAGGAACACAGTACCTGAAAGGGACTTTCACAAACCCAAGTACTGGTCAGAAGTAAGGGCGAGACTGTGTGCATGAGGGGGAAGGGAAGGGGAAATAGCCTTCTGACCCTTCACCCTTACGCCAGGGCCAGGCACAATGTGGCCAGGGCATGCAGCTTCTGAAGTAGACTTGCATCAGCAGCAGAGACTAGAGCTGGTTGGAACATCTTCATTCCAATGTGGAATGAAAACAAATTTTGAAATCTCAAAAGTTGCTGTGAAATGGAATTGTCGCCCTGCGGTCAGCTCTAGTGGAGACCTCCTCAAAGTGAGCAGGTATGGACAAGGCCACAGTCCTGCCCACTCCACACTAGGCAGCGAAGTTAGCTGGGTGCGAGAGGACTGCATGCTGCAGCCTTGCAAAACGTAATGGCAAATCCCCTGCAGCGTGCGATTCCTCCAGAACCCCCATTGCAACACAGCTGCCTCCCACCCCACTGCATGGCTGTGCCTTCAAGGCTCACTCTGGCCCATAACATGGAAGTGTTGCAAACCATAACTCTCTGTGCAACTGGGAGTAGCTCATCTGGCCTGACATTTTAAAAGGTCAGGATGTTTTCACTCTCACACATTCAGTCACGTACTAGTTAAGGAAATAGTCATACACTCCTTGCAAATATAACTCCCAATCCTTAGCTGTTATTTCTTCAAATCAACTGAGTAACATTTTGGGCTGAAATATCACTGCTCTGTAAGAGTTCCCTGGGAGTATGTACTCTTTGTGAGTAACTCAGCACAGCCCATGTCATTAACACATTGTTTTACCCCCACGTTGAGGTGTTTGATGGCTGCTGGCATTAACAGGAGACAATAAAGATTAATTGTATATGGCAGAGGAAAGTGGCCACATAGAGTTAGGTTTGCGTCCTTTAAAGTAATTTGTATTCTGTGCTTGCATTTTGTTCTATATAAGGCAAAACAAATTTAGAGATTATATGGAGGAGATCAATGGGTGGATACAATGAGATGCAAAGGTGCAGAATTCCCCTAGAGGGATTCTGAAGGCAACACAAGGTGGAATTAATTTGACTGTACAAAACTCATTGCAGCGCAATTGTTTTTTCAGATATCTATAGAGCCAGGCCTGGTTTTACATTTCACGGTTTCTGAAATACGACTTTCCCCACAAATATTACGGGTATGTTTGAAGCTATTAATATAGGCGCAAGAGTCACAATAAAGAGATGCCACCACTCTCCACAGGAAACCGGCACGTAGGTGTCAAAGCCCGTTTTGGAGGCCCACAAACCCACAGTCCCAGGTCAGCAAACCCCATCCCCCATGGGGCTATGTGGGAACTATCAATGGGAACAATGAAGGCATTGCAGGACCCCTTTGACAGCTTTTCATTAGGGATGAAAGTTTATCAGGGATTCCCCTTACTTACTCATGCTTGACACTACAGCTGTCCAGGACTGGTCTTTGGGGCTTGTGAAGCACCTAGCCAAATCCTCTCCACCTCAGAGTTTTAGGAGTCAAGAAGAGCTGGTCTGTGGTTGTTTAGAGGGGCTCCCTGGGCTGCTTCTGATGCTAGGGCTGCCATAAGCTCTCTTGTGGCCACTGGCCAAATGTTCCTATGTCACTTCTGGCTTATCCATTTATAGCAATTCCCTCAACATGGAAACTGAGTGCCAATTCCCAGCCTCAGCAGCAATATCCAACCCCCCCAACATCCCCAGCAAGGGAGGAGAGAGGGAAAGAGAATTTGTGTTTGTATGAACCAGGGCAAGGATGACATACAAGGGAGAAGTAAAGAGGAAGAGCCAAGTAACAGAAAGAGAGAAAATAAGTGAGCAAGCAACAGAGATAGAGAGACAGAACATGCACAATGGACAACAGAAAATGGGGTGAATGCAAAAGAATCCTTCTACTTCCCCCAAGGGTGGGAAGCCCCCAGCCACCAAGGTCACTACCTGTTTCTGCTTCTCCAAGCTGTGTGTGTGAGAGTGTGAGAGTCCAAATCCTGCTTTCCTACTGCTTTGCACAGGCCCACGGAAGGGTTGGCGCCTGGTCCAGTTGCCTCTCCTGATCCCCGTAGGACTCTGACCTGGGGCAATTCCTCCTGACAGTTCTGCCTCCCTATGCAGGGGAAGGTGGAACTTTTCCGGCCACTTCTCTGCAGCTCTCTCCAGCTCCATGCAGGAATCTGCAAGAGCAAGTGGCACAGACTGTTTCCACACTTCTCCGCTCCCTTCCCTGCCTGGGAGGGGACACCATCTTGGGTGTTCCTCCACACTACTCCCTATCTCCATGCAAGGGGCCTGGACACTTGCTTCCTCTGTTCCATCCCTGCAAGCTGAATGGGAAGAGGAATAAGAGGCAGCAGAAGAGTTGCATCAACTGTGTGCTTTTGGTTGCTGCTTGCATGGAACTGGATTTAATATCAGTGATAATGAAGTGAGGGGTGTGCAATGCAAATTTAAAAAAAAAGGAAAAACTTTCCTGTAATGTGGTTTCATGGCTCCAGCTTCAGTTTTCATAGAAATAATGTTTTGACCCATATAGCTCTTTTCGTCTGCAAGTACTTCACAGATACTAACAGATTAACTAATCCTTGCAGCTCCCCAGATGAGCTAGGAATTGCCACCCACATTTAAGAGACTGGAAAAATAAAGTTGGGTTAAGACACAAGACCAAGGCCAAAGAGGGAGTCAGTGTCAGAGCTGTCTGTCCCCCAGACCTGAGTTCAGACCACACATCGCTCTCTCTAGTAGCATAAAGGCAGCAGGTAGCTAGCAGCAGACAGTGAGAGCTCTCTCGTTACTTTCAGCTGCTGTTTTGGCACTTAGTACCAGCTGAGCAGGAAATATTGGTTTGTACAAAGTGAGAAGCAGTCTGCCATACTTTTGGTTATTTCTTCCCAGAGATGAACATAATGATTTCTCAGAGGGCATATTAGTTAAATATCCTAACCTGAGCAGTCAAAACCAGTGGTAGCTAATCAGAGTCTTCATCTCTTATAAAAACACTTTAAAATATCATAGATAGAATCATAGAATATCAGGGTTGGAAGAGACCTCAGGCAGTCATTTAGTCCAACCCCCTGCTCAAAGCAGGACCAATTCCCAACTAAATCATCCCAGTCAGGGCTTTGTCAAGCCTGACCTTAAAAACCTCTAAGGATGGAGATTCCACCACCTCCCTAGGTAACCCATTCCAGTGCTTCACCACCCTCCTAGTGAAAAGTTTTTCGTAATATCTAACCTAAACCTCCCGCACTGCAACTTGAGACCATTACTCCTTGTTCTGTCATCTGGTACCACTGAGAACAGTCTAGATCCATCCTCTTTGGTTGGAGGTAGCTATCAAATCCCCCCTCATTCTTCTCTTCTGCAGACTAAACAATTCCAATTCCAGTTCCTTCAGCCTCTCCTCATAAACCATGTGTTCCAGCCCCCTAATCATTTTTGTTGTTTCCAATTTTTCCACATCCTTCTTGTAGTGTGGGGCCCAAAACTGGACACACTACTCCAGAGGAGGCCTCACCAATGTTGAACGGAGGGGAATGATCACGTCCCTCGATCTGCTGGCAATGCCCCTACTTATACAGCCCAAAATGCCGTTAGCCTTCTTGGCAACAAGGGCACACTGTCGACTCATATCCAGTTTCTCGTCCACTGTAACCCCTAGGTCCTTTTCTGCTGCACTGCTGCCTAGCCATTCGGTCCCTAGTCTGTAGCAGTGCATGGGATTCTTCCGTCCTAAGTGCAGGACTCTGCACTTGTCCTTGTTGAACCTCATCAGGTTTCTTTTGGCCCAATCCTCTAATTTGTTTAGGATGGATCTCTTTGCACTTAATGGCACAAGCCATACTTTATAATAGTATTTTACTATTCAGTCTCCATACTGTGCAAACAGCTGCATTACAGAAATAACTCAGGTCTAAATTTCCACTGATCAACTGAGCTTTTCAGAAACCTTAATTGGAATAAATACAGTACGATGGGGTGGAGGTTGCTTCTTCTGCAGCCTTCCAATTTAATTCCCAGGAGGCCGAGGGCGGATACCTCATTTCTCATGCATGCCTCATGAGAAATAAAGCCAGATGAATCCTCTGAGTACTCACTCATTTATGGTGTCCTTCTGGCCGCAGAACTGTCCATAGCTGTCAGTTGGATAGACCACCTTCCTGGGGTCACCATGCACCCAAGCTACAAATATATAAAGAGATAGACAGATCTTTTAACACCACATTCCAAGTGTCCAGCAGTAGCTTGCTAATAGTAGGGTTACCATACGTCCTCTTTTTCCCGGACATGTCCGG